TAATTTTCTTACTGAGCATGTGGTATAAACAGAAATTCAGGATAAAAAATGTTCCGGTACATGACTTACGTGAAATGTGACTGCACAGAGAGTCAATAATGACTCCTAAGTTTCAATGTGGCACAACCTGCACTAAAGGTCCAGACCATGAAATGTTGGCCTGTGAGAGCACAACTCCATGCTGTAATCTGCACTTAGAAGACAAGCTGACTATAGGAAAGCAAGCATGTGAAATCTAAGCAACAAAGATGAACGAAAAACTAGATAAAAAACCGATCTTCAACAGCGTGTTACAGCCACCATTGCAAAATGGTCACTTTCTGAAGCTTTGAAGCTCAGGTAACTTAGCCAAGCATAGACTGGAACCTATCTTCGACGATAGTAAACCACGTGACAAGCGCTCTGTTCACCATGACAAATCCAGCCAGGAATAAATATCTTCAATCATGACATAGTGTGGTTTACACTTTGTGTAAGCCACACAAAAATCATTTTAAAGTTAGTGTTCTCAGCTGACAACAACAACTCAGCAACTCAGCCTAGCATTTTTTCAACAATTATCAGTCATACCAGTAATATACCAAGTCATCTTGTCCTGGTACCCAAATAGTATGGCCAGATCTTGTTCTGACTACTTGAGGGGTCTTGACAATGTTTCTGTCACTCCCTGTGCTCTTGGTGATTTCTCTGTCACCTTTTGCACTTGCGATGGTGCCTTTGTTAACTTCTGAAGTCTTGATGATCTCTCTCCTGTTTCGTCTGTAGAGAGTTCCACCGCTGATCAGAATTACTGATCAAGGGGTGCGAGCAGGTTTTGTAACTTTGGAAGGTTTTTTGCCATTTTTTGTTTATATTCGAACAGCATCACTAGTTTTGGCAGGAGGCAGTGACTTTGCTCCTCATTCAAAGGATGGAAATTGTCAGTGTTTTTTATCAATTGGCACATATGCCACAAGCTGATTATCTTGAAGTAAGGCAGCTCCAAGTCCTGATGGGAATGCATCTACTGAAAGCTCCTCATGCTCATTCACATCATAGTTGCTGGTTTTGAGGTTAGGACCTTCTTAATTTCATTAGGAGCTTTTTGTTGTTGTTCTTCCCAGTGCCAATGTACCTCTTGCTTGACTATCACTCTAAGTAGCTCAGTTAAAGTGCTCATGTTTGGGAGAAACTTATTTAGGTAGGTTACCATGCC